TTACGTCGACCCTAGTAAAGCCCTCCTCGAACATCCTCATGTCCTTAGGATCAATGTTAGAACCGGATTCGTAGTCATCCACCACGACTCCTTTCAATCTCTCATCGACCGAAGATGGGGTACGACCCGGTCGAGATGATGATGGTCCGCTCGGAACCGTAGCGGCAGCCTCGGAACCCCGTCCCTCCGCCACAGTAGCCTCTTGAACGCTTGCAACGGGCATCACCTCCTCGCCCAGGCTGGCACGACCGCCAGCTTTGGGCACCGTTAAAACAAGGTCACCACTCGAGGGTGTCCCAGCTAAAGAAGCCCCTTCCAACACTATCATTCGCCTCTTCGGCGGGGCCTCTCCGCCATCAACGCGAGAAGGTTCACCCGTTGAACGAACTGCGGGAACTGGAGTCTCCGACCGAGGAGCAACCTCCGAACGAACAGTTTCGGCCACAGATGCAGTCTGCCGAGCAACCAAATCCTGTACACCCTCGCCCGCAGTCGCTCTTGGTGAGGGTCGGGCAAAGGGAGCCGGTTGACGGAATACAAGGGGAGGAGCCCTCGCCCTTCTCACTCCTCTCCGACCTCTCAACAAGAAATTGGTTCAAATAAAGATAAAATAAAGAAAAAGGACGAAGAAATAAATAAAGCAGATAAAGCCGAAATAAGCCGACTCACCAGTGGAAGGTTTACACCCAAACCTCTCATGAAAGGGCGCCTATTCACGGATCCCCATCGTGCGAGGTAGAATTGCACTCACCCATTCGCGAATGTCGGCAACTTGCGAAATAGGCACCCTCTCAGCTACAAAAACATAAAACAAACCCTCAATGAGGTCATTAAAGGGGGACGACCGACAACCCTCTTACGAAAAAATGGATGAAGTAAGAAGAAAAGAAGGCTTACGGGAAAAGTTCCACGTCTCAGGAAACCCCGCCGGGTTTGACACGACGTGTACTGTTTGGACGTAGAAGAAGCTCTCCCAAAAGTGGCGATTTGCCTTATCATCCATCTTCACCACCAAACTCTTGGCTCCTCGGTGACGCATGTGAATCATCGTACCCCTAAGAAAATGGGGGGCGAATAGGTGTAGCATGTGTTCTAGGGAAATTTTGCGGTCGGCGAGCTCCGCGTACTTGATGAGCATAAGGAAAAGCTTGTACGCGTATGGGGAGAGTTGAGCCGGACACAACTCATAGAAGCAACACTAATCCACCACTAGGGAAGGAAGAGGAAGCGTGTACCCGATGACAAAAGGATACGCATAAAACGCGCAGTAGTCCGGACGGTGTATGTGCACTATATCCTGGTCCATCGGAACTAGTTCAATGTGATCGGGGATCCTCCATTTGGCTTTGAACGCCACGAGCGCCGCAACATCCATCGTAGAAAGAACGGGTTCCGACTCGTCTCCGGCAGGGCTATTGAAGTCAGTCCTCGCCTTCCCTGGACGGGGAACCACCTCATCCACCATCGAAAAACTCTCATCTTCCACCGGACGCTCTCCCTCTTTTATTAGGGGCACATTTTCCGGCATCGGAGCACCAATGGCTCCATCGGAGTTGGAGTCTCCACTAACCATCTTCTCTTTGGTTGAAAGAAACGAGAATGGTGAAAGAAAAAGGTGGTGTTCACAACAAATCCTAACAGACAGAAGTATGAGAAGCTGACGAAGAAAAGTTACAAAAATTTCTCGTAAGCAACTAAGAAGCATAGCATTCAAATGAAAGACCCTCCCCTATTTATAGAAATGTAAAATGCCCTGAGCGGGAAAGCCAAACGTCGTCGCTTTGAAAACAGAAAGGGCACGGAAACGACGTCATACGTAGAAAACGTGCGCCATGATGACGCATGATGAGTATTAATGACATTCTGAACTGACGTGACAGTTCGATACAACTCCTGAAACGTCATGTCGCTACCTCGCCACAAGATATTCGCCCATCGTCCGAAGCGTTCAGTTTTCTCCCAATTTTCGAATCGACAGAGTCCGCCCATCGTGCTCGCCAACAGGCGGAGGGACTAACTGTATGGGTCAAAATCTGACCCTACGTAGATTAGTGCTAAACGTGATGGCAAGGGGCCGACTAAGCCGTGGTTGTATCTGCTAGGCATCATAATGTCGAGTATCTCGGCCACTACTGAGATTGAACTATGAGAGAGCCTATACGGCGAAGTATATGTCGTGACACTTAAGGGGGACGGCCTAAAGTACAACCAGCAGATTAAGCTATTCTTGCTAAGGACCGTGGGACAAAAGGGAAATGCTTATAATATATATAGGAGGTGAGAGAACAAAAAAGGGGCCTCTCTCATTCACGAAAAAGGGATAGAAGAACAGGAGAAGGTCTCTGAGGAAAACAAAGCGAAGGTCCAGATCTAGGTTGCAAATCTTTGTAATCGTCATTTGTTGAATCAATAAAGATAGATTCCGTAGCTGTCAATGACATTCCTTCTTTTTTCTTCTGTGTTCTTACATTATGGAACAGTACGTCAAGAATGTAAGCCTATCATTTATATTTGATATATTTTACAATCTTAAAAAAGGTTGTAAGCATGATTATATTCTGTTTTCGTATTGAACGTGCTTTGGTCTAGAGTTAATTATCCTTGGCTAAGATGTATCCTCTTTCTTCTCATTAATTAGTTTAACAAAGAGCTTAACACTTTTTGGTCAAACAATGACACCGCTTAATCATGTTTTATCTACGAATCTCCCACGTCAACTCTACTTTCTCCTTCCTTTTATTACTGCTTTCTTGTGAGTTTTGGTATCTAATTTTAAACGTGGAGAACGTGTTAATTTAGGTATGAAAATATAAGTATCATTAATTAGGGACGACTTATAGGCCATGGCACGATACTGACAAGTGACCACTATAGACTTTTTTATACATTCATTTTCGTGGTTTTTCATTACTGAAACCATCCAGCTAAATCAAGGGGAAAAAAGAATTGTCAAGGCCAACACACGACAATGTTCAAAAGGAATTTTCAATATCGGAATGAATAGAGAAAGCTGTTTTTTGTTCTCAATAGCTAATTATTGATTTTAGGAAAAATGATACTGTATAGTTGTTCTTGAAATAATAGTCGAGACATGTATGTTTTTTTGTATATTTTTGTGTATATATACATTCTGTATATTATATACAAAATTTATATAAATTTTATACACTTTTTTGGCTACTGAATATAAATAGTTTCTGGTATGGACTAAACGTGAAAAAAGTCCTTGATTTTACGGAAAAAATTTAGCAATTCAGATATAAATAATTCAGATGTTAATTTTTGTATATATTATATTTATATAAAATTGTAAGTTAATTTTATTATTATTATAATTATATAAAAAGAAATATAACCATTAATTAAAAATAAAAAATGCAAATGTAAGATATCTAATGTTGCTAAAATTGAAAAGTGAAAACTAAAATTTAAAAAGAAAATTAACAATACATAAAATAAAAATACATTATAATTAAAGTACATCAAAGGAGGATACATTAAAATTGAAATTACATTAAAAAAACATAAAACATAAGCTTAGTAAGTGGTGAATGTGAATTATATATAATCAATATGGAAAAAGAAAAAAAGATAGTATCTGTTTGAAGGAATTAAAAAATAAAATTTAAATAGAAGATAATAATATAATACAGAAGAGAGAGAAGAAATATTATTTTTTGGTGTAAAAAATGGTGTAATGGTTGGAGTAAATTTGGTGTTACACCATTTTGGTATGAAATTTGGTGTGAAATTTAGTGTTAGGGTTGGAGATGGTCTTAGGAGGACAGTTTACAGCTTGTTTGGATGGTCGTTCCTCGTTGTATTGTATTGTTTTGTTATCCCAAAACAATATTTGTTTTGATTGTTTCATTAAAATTGGTTATATTGTATTGTTAAATCCATTGTTCCGGAACAATGAAAACTTCTATTTTTTTTAAACAANTTTCCAATTATGCCCTAACTTATTACTCCATAATTCTATTTTACCCTTTATCTTTTTTCTATTTTAACTCCAAATCTCCAACTTATAACCTACTTTGTTTTTTTTTCAGACCAATGTTAAAGGTGTTTTGTTGCCTCCTGTTTTATTTTTTCTCCTAATTTGCTTGTAACTCAATTTTAATTAGTTGTGCTCCTTTATTTTGCCTTTTTATGTCTCGCTCCTTTGTTCTGCTTCCTTATTGTGTTTTTCCTTCTTCTGTTTTGTTTTTTAAAATTATTTTTATACATAATTTTGATAAATTTAATATTTAAACGATTGAGGGTATTTTAGTAAACTTATCAGTTACAGTACAGTACGATACAGTCAAACCAAACAACAAAATATTATTTAACAATAACAAACAATACAATCTATCCAAATATTGTATTCATAAAACGATACGGTACAATACGATACAATACAATACAATACATTATAAAACGATAGGGAACAATGATCCAAATAGAGTGTTAGTTGGCAAGAAATAGAAGTTCCATTTCATTCCCAAAGCCCTACGGTAAACTTCATTACTTCTCGATTAGCTAAGTGAAAAAAATTTAGAAAATTACATAAGTATCTCCTGACCTATATCCGGATTCCTAAGTACACACTCTATCTTTGAGGGAGTTTTATTATCCCCTATATTAAATTAAAGTAGAATTGTTTGCACCCTTAAAGCTTATGCGGCAAAGTGTGTGTATTTCACTCTCCTTGAGAGAGTGAGAAGCAAGAAAAAATGATTTTCAGATTTTTCTTTTTGCTTTTTTACTATTTTTAGTGAGATATTTAATTTCTTACCTTTTTTTCCCCTTTTCCTTTTCCTTTTCCTTTTTCTTTGTCTTTTTCTTTTACTTTTTTTTTGCGTTTCTTCTCTAATTCCGGCAGATGTTTACTCGCTGGCGACTTTCTAACCATTCTTCTTTCATTTTTTTTTTCTTCTTCTTCTTTCTATCCTTTTCACGCAAAATTAAACTCTCAAAAAGATCTATTCATAAGCAAAGCAAAATATACTCAGATAATGGGGGGAAAATTCATCATCGGAAAACCTTCTTACGCCGGGAAAAAAGAGGTATTGAAATTCTAACTGGAAAAATTCTTCTTCTAACCTAGCAGACACACTTATACTCATATTATATATCATCTCTCACCTCTTAGTTATAATATCCATCATCTTTATGCCATCCACAATCACCAATTATAGCCACCGTCCGAAAATCTTCTACCATAATAGCCATTAAAGAAGCGTAGCAACAGAAAAAGAAAAATATGAATGAATCTTTGTTATTTCGGTTTGTTGGTGGTGACTGGAGTAATAAAGAAGAGAAAAGAGGAAGGAAAGGAAAAAAACTTTTTTTAAATTCTTTTAAAAAAATGAAATTTGATGTGTCAAGCGAGTGTGGTTCACTGTCTAACGAAAATTTGGTTGTGGTACTTTAAAGGTGAACTTATTGACTTTAAAATAGTTCAGTGGGGTAGTAAAATTCCCCCAAAGGTAGAGTGTGTAATTGGGAATCCGCTATAGATCAAGGGGATACTTATGCATTTTCCCAAAAAAACTCTGTGCTAAATCTTTTTCTAATATTTTTAAAGGCTTATTTTCTAAAATAACCTTTTTGAGGCCACTCTTTCTATTTTATCCTTGTTTTAAAAAGTTTTTTAGATATAGCTTAAGCACTTCACAGTCGGGAGAATGAAAAATTTATGGCTACCGGTTCCTGACAAATTGAAACTTAGTTATCTAAAAATTTGGTCATAAATTTTTTATAGGTAGCTCAGTTGTAGAATGAAAAATTATGGCAATCAGTTGTTGACAACTTGAAGCTAGTGGTCTAAAGTTCGATCATAAAACTATTTATAGGCAATTCAGTTTCTTCTGCAACTTTAGCCCATTGATCTAAAATTTAGACTAATGTTTGATTAGAAAAAAGCTTCGATGTTTAGAAATGTATATGATATGGTAGTATAAGATTTACACCATACTTTATCATAGAAGATTCATTTATTCATGGACTAAATTTGAGCATGTCGGCAATTCTGGTAACAACAACAAATCCAGTACAATCTCACACATGGTGTTTAGGGAGGGACGTTGGCAATTCTGGCAATCGCCAGAATTTTGAAGCACCATGAATTCAGCCACAATGTTGAAGTTTTTTGGTAAACATTAAGATTTTGGTAAGCATATTTTAAAATCTGGCGTCAGGATATCTTTAGTGGGCCTTGAACAACATTTTGGTCTATCGGTCAGCTGCCATAATCTTGGGGCAAGTGCACCGATAGTTACTTTTAAGGATGTTATTTAGAGATTGTCCAATACTTATTTTTATCCTGAAATTTTAAACTAAAAATTGTAAGTTCAGAACAATTCAGTATATTTTTGTCCTGAAAAACTGAAATTCAAAACACACTGATTAATTATTAAATAGCAGCCCTTTAAAGTGGCTACCTGATGTCATTTCTACCATAGTCTTGTATAGATTGGTTTTGGGCCTTTTGCTTTCAGCAATCTAAATCTGGACTGGTTCAACCACGTTTACAAACAACACATGACACTACAAACTACCAGCTATGTCCATTTATAAGTAGCTCATTACAAAAATTGGCTAATTCATAAAATATTACTAATATTAGCTAATTAGCTATTTGTATAAAGAAAAGGTCAAATTTTTTGCTTTCTTTTGAGTGGGTGTTATTAGAATAGATTGGGTACATCTTAAGGAGCTTGAATTTCTGTTTTGGGATGACTTGGTGAAGTATTGAGGTGGTTTGAATTGATAATTCGAAGTTGTAACACTCCTCAAATCTATAGAAGTTTCAAGACCCGCTTAATATAGAATTTAATTTTTCATAAATCTTAAATTATACTTTTATTACAGATTAAAAATCCTTGTGATTGATTTTGAGTTACTTCCCTATTTATAAATAGTTGGATATATAATTATGGAAACATTAATAATTTCAATATTATTAATTATTAAAAGTGGGTATCATTAAATATTAGTTAAGTTAAAACAAAACAAAAAAAAAAGGAAAAGCAATAAAACAATAACAAAAAAAAAAGGAAAGAAAAAAAAAAGGAGAGAGGGGCCCATAAAATGGTTGGAAACGTATTCTTTAGGGCAAAAGGCTTGAAAGCCTTAATCAAAATACAAGTCTGAAGTCTCAAAAGTCTAACAAAACAGAAGCTTAAACTCACGCAAGCCTCATACAAAGAAAAAGGAACAGAACGAGAAACAGAGGTAGCAAGACGATTTACGCAGACAACGAAAATCCTAGGGTTCTTTACAAAACACTAATTCTTGAACCCAGGTATATAAAAATTTCTTATTGTCAATTATCCTAAAGTAGTAGCAGGTAAGAATTTGAATAGTTAATTCCCTTCTTCCTCTATATCAACAATAAATTTCATATTTAGGTGTAGTACTTTAAAATTAATTAAAATGCACTGGTTGTTGTAGAATCAATTGTTTGACGGGTATAAATTGGACTGGGGTCTACGTATTGGCTCAAGGAGTTTTGAGGTGAGTTGATATAACCCTTTACTAAAGTGGTTTAACTCACAAAAGCACGCACACAAGGTGTTTGATGAATTGCATAAAAGAGTTAATATATACTTAATTGGAGTAGTAAGTACCTATTAGCTTAGAATTATTTTCTAGCTAAAGTTTAGATGATTATTTGGATATATGTGCATAAATTTTAGATTTTTATGTTATTCTTTGGACTTAATTGTAGTAAGTACCTATTAGCTTAGAATTATTTTCTAGCTAAAGTTTAGATGATTATTTGGATATATGTGCATAAATTTCAGATATTTATGTTACTCATATATGCCATTTTCATGTTGAAAATTCATGAAGGATCAAGAACCTTTATAAATACTTTTGAATGTTTATTTCATTCTTATGTCATGCCTTACATTTAAGGATACCGGTATGAGTATGTATAAAAGATTTAGACTTGAAAAGTCACAAGAAGAAGTTTTAGAAAGAAAAGATTTTGGGAGTATCCTTTATTCTGAGAAGGGGTCATCGTCCAGGCCGAGGGTCCTGACCAAGGCGTTGACTTCCTGAAACTACTTGTGCCAAAGTAGGGAGCACACGAGCCGAGGGTCTCGTTGCTGAGAAATTACTTAGCCATGCTAAGGTATGATACATGAGCGCTGAGAACCATGAAGCGAGTGGCACCTCGTGGATTGGGCCTATTCGATCAGGTTGGGATCGAACCCGTGCCGATCACACGGTGACTGAGACAGAATTAAGTCAGGATAGTTGGAACTCCCAAGGTATAAAGTGAAGTATTTTTTTTTATATAGGAAAGAAAAAAAAGAATTTCTTTTAGAATATTCATAAACTGCTATTATGCGATTATTTTGAATTATTCTTATAAGCTTTATGCTTTACATGCATTTAGAACCTTTGCTCATAATGTATATGTTATTAAAGTTCCGCTCCTGTTGTTGAGACTCACTGAGTACAATGGATGGTACTGACGTTCTCTTTTGGGAACCTACGTTGGTCTGCGGTACAACGTAGGAACCAGATTTGCAGGCGAGCAGACTACGAGTTAGGACTTCCTTCCCTTCCAGTGCTATTGGTGAGCTCCGCTTTTGTTCGTGGAGTATTCCTTAGAGTCGTTTTTATTTAGCTATTTCTTTGTTTACTTAGAGAACTGGCCAGGAAATCTCATGTCCTGAGCAGTGCGTCAGTTTATCAGTAGAGGCTTCATAGACATAGTCATTGGGTTGAGATTCAGATGTTATTTTATAATAACTTAGCAGTAATTCAGTAGTTACTACAAATAAAGTTTTGGAGTTGATTTATTTAAATATTCGAATTAATCAAAAGTATTTGGTTAGAGTATTGCTTTGTTGCATATAAAGTTTGGAGTTATAATAGGTTTGATAAGTAGAGATGGTTCGCTCGGTCATGTTTAGTGATCGAGTGCCGGTCTCGGCTTGTTCAGAAAATGGGTCGTGACAAACTTGGTATCAGAGCCTCAGGTTTATGGAGTCCTAGGGGTCTATGAAGCCGTGTTAGTAGAGTCTTGTTTATGGGTATGAAGCGCGCCATACTTATAAA